GCCGTTGCCACTGCAGAGAAAAAGGACTAAGACTGCCTCCTTCTGTGCAAGCCCGTTTGTGCACAACCGTTCAAAATCCTTAGACTCGAGATAAGTTGAAATTCATTTATAACGGAAATATTTGACATATTTCTGCGTCGATTTTGCGTCGATTTTTATTAGCTGTCGAAAATAACACATAAATCCATTACACTCTCTCCATTTAACCATGACTGATGCTACGTTTGCTGCCGACAAAGTAGATCTTTCGGCCATCGTCCGTTTACAAAAGTTCATCGAGAAACATGAACATATTTTTACGATTCTCGATTCACTAACAGACTCAAATAGATTCACGAACAACCTAACGAGCCTACCACAAATTGAATCGATTATACACTTAGTTTCGTCAGAAGTCGCGGATAGATCGAAACGCAGGCTCAATTTAATTATCCGTAATATACCCCACACCGTTAATCCGACGCCATCAATTCAAAATTTTATACATTCGTGTGGCTTAAATATCAGAGTAGCTAACACTAAAAGACTTCACTCCAGAAGCAAAAACAAACCCGTCTTAGTAACATTCTACTCACAGGCGGAAGCTGAGATTGTCCTACAAAATCCCGAAGTAAACAGAAATCTGCGGAAATCTGTCAAAATACTATTGAATCATGTATAATATTGTTCTTGTTTATGTGCAGTTATAGGAGTAGTGGTCGACTGTTTACTATGACCTAATATAGTTCTATATATGTTTAATATGGCTTTAATATAGACATACGCACGACTAATATGCAGGGTTTTATCGAAGGTTATATTTTTATTAGCTTTATAAGGGATATTTGTGTCAGGTGACATAGCTGATGAAAACGAGAAAGGGAGGAAAAAAGAAGAATATCATTATCTGTTCTATGTTTATCAATGATGCTATCTTTTATAAATTTGATTATTTCTAGTTCTATGTTCCGGTGTTTTTCAATCGGCTGGCATCATCAGAGCCCTTTTGGACCAAATTCAATATCAAAGAATTGACTTGAAAAATGTACAATCTTATTCAAAAATAAATGTATATTGTTATTTGAAAGGAATTTATTAGTTTTTATTTTAACTTCGATTAGGGTTCGACTTTTCCGGATAGAACTTGGAAGAGAATTCCAGATAGTCGCATATCTTATGGTGTAGAAATTTGACCGTTGGGACTTTGTGAATTTGGGAATCCTTATAATATCCTCGCTATTTCTGGTGTTCCTAGGGGTGTTTTGGTTGGTAAGTAAATTCATTTTGAGAATATCTTGATCGTGGGTGACCTTGAATAGGAAGTTTAGACCATTTTGAATTCTTCTGATCCAGAGTGGTCGAAGACCGTATTTATGATATAGTTCTAAGTATGAACCCTGGATGCCATCACTTCTAGACAAAGATCTAGTAAAACGTCTATGAATGCCTTCTAGTTTCTTTCGGCCGTCTGAGGGCATTATGCCGAAGAAAATTGAGCAGTAATCTAGGAGAGGTAAAACATACATTTTGAACAGTTGTATTCTTAGTGCATTTAAGGTGAAATTTTTGCATATGAATCCACACAGGCGAGTGGCTTTCGGTGATATCTGTTGGACGTGGGGAGATAAATCAAGGGTATTTGTATAGCTGAGACCTAAATCTTTTACCGATTGGGCCTCTGTTATTTCATTATCCTCGAAAATTATGGGGTTAAGTTTTTGTGGGCCAAATATCAGGAGATGGCATTTTTCGGGTGAAAAGGGCATCTGCCACTGACTACTCCATTCGCTGAGTTTTATGAGATCAGTTTCAATTGTTCTATGAATATTGGCTACTGTATTCCCGTTATATGCATATGCAATTTTAAGGTCGTCCGCATATAGAAACGTCTTAGCTGAGACAGATATGGACGATAAGTCGTGAATATATATAAGAAATAGAAGGGGGTCTAGGATAGTGCCTTGAAGTACTCCACTGGTAAAAGGGGATGGTTCTGAAACGACGTTTCGAATTTGCACCACCTGGTATCGGTTTTGAAGATAAGATTTAAGAAAATCGAGAAGGGGTGGCCTAATTCCATGACTTTTTAGCTTTATCAGTAGTCTTTTATGGGGGACTTTGTCAAAGGCCTTTCTTAGATCGAAGTATATTGAAGCTACTGTGTTTCCATCATCTCTATTGCTGGAATCAAATTCCAAAAAAGTAAGGTGGCAGGACTGACATGACTTTTTGGGCAAAAATGCATGTTGAGAGGAGGGAATGAGGTTGGCGTTCATGAGATGGTCTAGCAATTGGTTATATACTATTTTCTCGAGGATTTTAGCTATAACCGGTGTTCGGTGAACACCGGCTATAGTTTTGGGTATGAGATCGGTTGCCGCTTTTAAATATGGGCGCAATGGTCGAGTATTTCCACATGTCCGGAAAAATTGCATTTGACTGGAGTAGGGTGAATAACTTAGATAGGAGTATTGGAGCATATGTCATATGCTTCAGAATACATGGTGGGATTTTGTCTGTCCCATAGGATTTGGTGTTTGATAGTTGTTTGATGGCTACTTTAACAGTTTCTTCACTAAAATGGATCTCACTAAGGATGCGTTCAGTCATCTCGGTCGGTTGGGGGATGGTTCCCTCTTCGACTGTGTAGTTAGCTGAGAAGTATCTGTTGAATAAGTTTACTATTTTTTTATCATTGGTTACAGCTTGCCCTGATTCATTAATAATAGTTCGTGGTCCTGACTGTCGATGATTACTCATTAGTTTCTGAAACATCTGAGCTGTTCGTTCGGGGGATTCTAGTGCCCGATGTTCTGCTGCTATGGTCTTTTGTGTTTCCATTTTCGTGACTAGGTCGTGAATTTCCCTAATTCGTCGAAGTGTGGAAAAATAACTCACAGAGGGGTCGCGTAGCTGTTTTTGTAGCTTTTTTAGTTTAGTTGAAAGGAAGTTCGGGATTGGTGATTTCTTATACGAGAGTCTTTCGTCTATCAAGGTATCTCGAACTACAAATAGGACAGAGTATAATAGGTTAACTGCTTCCATAGGGGATGTTGTAAGAAGATATGGGCTCCAGTCCAATGATCTAATATAGTTGTTCATGGAGTCCTCGTCAAGTTTTTTTGGGTTTAGGCGGGTGTTACTAAAATGGGTTGCTAGTTTTGCGTTTAAGGGGAGTGTTGATATTATTGCCTTGTGGTCACTTTCAAAGATTGCGCAGTCGTAGTGCATATAGAGGGGTCAGATATCGTTGGTGAAAATAACGTCTAGTATATTGTTTCCTCGGGTGGGTTTGTCAACTATCTGTGTCCAGTTATCAAAGATAATTGAAGACAAAAATTCTTCGTGCCTGGTAGGTGCTGATAATTCGACCCAGTCTATTTCTGGGCGGTTTAGGTCGCCTGCAATTATCTTATATTCAGTTTTTATGTTCGCTATATTGCTTATTAAGAGGTTGAGGCTTGTGTCATCACTACTACATTCTAAAGGGGAGTAGAGGCATCCGACTAGTATGTTTTCCTGCGCATGAGATTTTATTGTGGCAAAACACGCTTCTCCAGCAAAGGTTTCGGTTGGGACATCAATACAACTTTGTATGTATGTATTTTAAAGGGTTACTGGCAGAGCCCTTGATGACCCTATTTATGTACAGTGCTTTCGCAG